TTTTTTTTTTTATGATATATATTTTGAGAAAACAGCATCATTTGTGCCTTTCCATTCATATCCTTTCCAGTTTCACCTGTATTGTTGGTTTTCTTTCCTGAGCCAACCCTAAACACATTCTGTTTCAAAATTGGTCTGAAAATCCTTAATTGTCCCCCTGCAAATCCCTCAGTGTTCAGTAGAGGAAGCCACCCCCCCACCCTGCCAGCCAGCGACATTATTAATGCCAGTTTTGTATTGTTCTTGGTACAGCGTGGCGGGAGATGGCCACACGGCCCCACACTTAAGCTCTGTGAGCAATACCCTCAATCATTGCTGGCTTTAATAGGTTTGTATGTGTGGTAAGACCCAACATACAAAAGAGTCAAATCAGAAAAGGGAAAAAAAAGTTTCTCATTTAGTATCCATTTTAAATCCCCCTTGAAATTGTTCGGTTCTTATGCAGGGTCAGAAAAATATTCCTCTAAAGCCATCAGTTCTTTCCTATCCAATATTATTTTACTTTAGTGCTTTAAGACTCAAAATTAACTTTGCAATGTTAGATTGAAAGTTTTAAACAAAAGGAAAATTTTCAGCAATGCAGAATACTTAGAGCTCAATAATAGTTGGCATTCCTTTCCTGGAGGTATAAAGACTACGGTTTTCCCTATAATAAGTTTATAAGGTTTGCATAGGTATTTTAGAGAGAAATATTGTATAAATACAACAGTGAATAGAAAATGTTTGTTTTGACCTGTGTGAACTAATTAATAATTTTCTTTGTTAAAATTCCAATTTTATTTTCATGTAAATCATTGAGGGTTTTTTTCCCTGTAGTTTCGAACAGTTTAATTTGTATGCAGGTTTTTTTATGATTTTTGGTTTTTCACCGTTTTTATAAATAAATTGTTTCATAAGGCTGAATGTCTAGAACTTATTTGGATTTCTTCCTAATTTGGGGTGTACAATTTTTTAATAAATTATCACGGCTTTTATTAATTTGTGCAAGATGTAACTAATCCAGTAATATAATTTTAAAACATTCCAGTTAAGCTGTTTTAGGAAATTATTTTGCTTTTTTTGATGCACATATTATTTGTATTCATTGAATGTATTGAAAAATATTTCTCTAAAAATGTACCTGGGCAAATTTTTATGCAACTTGTACACTTCAGATTAAATTTGAATTTAAAATTACTTAAGATGTTGGGACACTGTGGCATATGCATGAGGCCTGGAAGGGGGGGGGGGTAAATTCTGAGGTAATACTTCGCGCGAACGTAAGTACAAGCGCACCAGGTAAAACTCTGAGGAAATGCGTCTGTCCGTGCAAGCATCCATGGTTCATCCATTTGGTTCATCCCTCGCGTGAGATTTCTGTGCGTTTGCGTGCTCATTTCTGTAAGTACCTAATGCCAGTGGTAGGTATACACAGCATCTGATATCTCGCTCTAGGAATTAAAGTTGAACACTGTGCATTTTTAATAAAATGTGTATACTGCTGTGCATGAGAAGTATTTATACACATCAGGTATCGTTTTGTCCTGTGTAAATTGTGTCTTAATGCCCTGAAGAGATGCTCAGCAACCTCTCCATGCCTGGTGCATATTTGCGATGGTTTGTATGTTAGGGTTGGATGGTGGGAACAATAAAGGGTGGGTATGACAAGGTAAGGGTCTTACATATGACTCCCATCCTTCCCATGAATTCCAAGGAGAGACGTAGCTGTGAGACCTATTTCATAAATTTGTCCATAACCTTTTCATAAAATTGGTGAATTCTTTTATCAGTGGTTAGTGCTCCTGCTTTTATATCATTCCTATACACTTTCGTACCTCTCGGGTTGATACAGTGTGCATCACATTGCTTGTAAAAGAGCGCTGTAAAATCATTTTACCCAGTTTGCGAGGTTTCTCATTGCTCAACTGTGAAATATATCCCAAAACACAGAAATGATTCCTTCCTTGACTGGTTCAGTGTGTGCTGTACACTACGGTAGGTTTTTTAATTGGTTGTGCTTTTGTGTGTAGTGTCAGCATTTTGTAGAAATTCAAACTTCGCTGTTTGATTTTTTGTGCTCTTCAGCTGAAAATATGAAGAGAATGAAATGGACTGCTTTCTTTTGTATTTATTTTAATTTTTTTTTCATGGCGAAAGTTTTACCAAATCATTTATCTGGAGATTTTGTCTCGGTTTTACTTTCTATGCAAATTATTCATAGATGAAATTTTATTTATTGATGCCCAAACTGTCTTTTTCTTAGTCATATGATAGTTTTCAGTGCAGTTGAAAGAAAATTGCAACATTCAGTAGTTCAAAATTTATCACAAACTAGCTAATTTTTCTGAATTTGATAAATGTTAGGTCACTGTTATTGCATCCACAGAACTGTTGGCATTTAGAAACAGTAGTTAGCCACTCATGACTCCTGTCAGGTACGGTTTAGGAGTGAATGTTGCATTTCGTGTGTTTAAAATGTTTCTGTAATAGTGAAGAGTGTTACTGCCCATTCCAGCTGCCTACAAGCATGCAGATGGCAAGAAAATTGATGGACGACGTGTCTTGGTTGATGTGGAACGCGCCCGGACTGTTAAAGGATGGCTGCCCCGCCGTCTTGGTGAGTATATCAGGTGGCTTTTATTTTTGAGTTATGATGTAGAATTTAATTATTTGTTTTCGAGATTAACATAAATAATCTATATTTAGGAGGAGGATTGGGTGGTACTCGAAGAGGTGGGCCAGATGTCAATATAAAGCATTCAGGACGTGAAGACAATGAGAGGGAACGTGAGCGGTATCGCCTGGAAAGAGAAAGAGAAACGGCTCGTGGGCTGAATGATCGGGATCGTGACCGTGATAGGGACCGTGATCGTCGGAGATCACGATCACGAGACAGGGAAAAGCGGCGCAAGTCTCGCAGGTAATGTGTTGCTATGCATTGATTTCTATAAAACAGACCCACCGTCCGGAGATGGAGTAGCGCAGTACTTGTGTTTCTGCTGCTGCAGCAGTTTTTACTTGTTTTTTGTTGGGGAAAAGTGTTTAGAAAATATTTTCTCCTTTATTTTCTAGTCGATCTCGTGAGCGGAAACGAAGACGCAGCCGTGATCGTGGGAAGGAGCCAGAAATTGAAGAAATTGTTGATAGGGAGGACAGAGGAGGCCGTGACAGAGATAGAGATCGTGACAGAGATAGGGATCGTGACAGGGATCGCAAACGGCGACGTTCACGATCAAGGGATCGTGACCGCGATCGCAATGATCGTGGTGATCGTGACAGAGATCGAGAGCGGAAGAGGGAACGCAGGGAGAGGGATCGTGGTGAGAGAGGTGGAGGAAGTGCAGCTGTTGCAGCAAGTGCTGGGGTTGGCATGGAAAGAGGAGAGAGGTGATTTTCCGAAATTTGCTTTATTTTCAAAGTTGTTTTTGTATTTCTTGAAACCTTTATGACCATTAATACTGTTTTCAGAGAGGAGAAACGTAGGGAACGTGAATTCAGGGAAAGATCAGAAGAGAAAGAAGTTCGTATTAAATTGGAACCTCCTGATGGTATGAGTTCTTCACTTCATTGAATATGTTATGCTAATGAATAAATGTTGACTATGATGTGAATGATTAATTTTATATATTAATACTTCCTTCTTTTCTCTTTTTTTTTTTTTTTCAGATTACCCTGATTATTCATCACAGCAGTATGAGGAATCAAATTATGATGAAACTCAAGTTAAGTATGAAAGAGAAGATGACCAGTATCCAGAAGAAGGCCAGGGTGAGACTAATGGACGAACATTTAACAATGATTATGAAGGTGAAGATTATTAGTACATGTAATTTACCCCTAGTGACAAGTTTCCTGAGATAGAAGAGCTTTTATCAAGCATTTTAATGTAGATCTTCTTCTGTTATTTGCACCCAACTGGATTTTGTGTTTTAAAGATAAATAATTGGGTGACATTTCCGATTTTTTATGTTATTATTGTGATGGACTGTATGTTAATGGTTATTGTACATATGTACTTGTACAACACATGTTTGACATGAGAGTATCAATTATATATTGATACAATTTTCTGGTGTTAATACTCCCGATGCTTTTTTTATGAATTCTTAATGCTCTTTAAACAGGGAATTTTGTTCTCAGTGTCTTTTGGACTCTTGTGAATGAATAAATAATATTTAAAGCAGAGTTTAATAGTTCAACTTTCTTGGTCATATTTTATCATATCAGCTTACAATCAATAATTAATTAATTTCTAAGAACAGTTTTGAGTGTTGAATAGTCAATAAAATACAATATCCAACGTCTATCAACGTGCTGAAACATTTCAAAAAATCTTTCAGGAAGACAAGCTGAGCTGTTTAAGTGACAAAAGATACATATTGTATTAAATTCAAAAATCTGAATTAATAAGCATCACCTATTTCTTTAGATATATAATTCTAAAATGTAGGGAAAATATTTTCTTTCTCATGGTTTTCAGTATTTGAAGATCCCTGGTTTAGAAGCTTGTGAGCTTCTAGGTTTTGCAGTTGATTAAAGAGAAAATATCTGCTTGTATTGATTGTCCATGTCTGAAATGTACTTGTGATTTTCATTTATGTAGTGCGCTATCCTTAGTTATTTTATCTTAATAGGATTATTTCTAAAATATGTAATATAAGTAAATTCTTTTTTCATAATTATGAGCCTCCTTGCAAATCATTAGAATAATGCACAAAGGTAAGTATGAAAAGCAGTTTCAAAAATATAATAGACAACGAGAGACAACACTAAATTTCACCATTTCTTTTATATGCCATTATTTTGCCAATTTTGGGGGGGGACACATCTCGCATCAATAGCATGCTATTTGGAATTAATCAAGGCTGATGACTTAGATTTTCCTATAAGCTGAAATTAGACCATGGACTTGCTGATAGTTTTGGTTGAGTTATTAGTGTGTTAATGTAGGATAGGCATAAAGATGCTAATTTTGAAACGAGCAAAGATTTGTGAAGATTAACCCATTGTGTTGGTTACTTTGTATGACGCTTTCATGAATTACATAACGTAAGACTAATTTTCTGCATTTATATTTTTATACATTGCCATTATTTTACAAGATTTTGCAATGAAATGAGACTGACGACTAGTAATAACTTTCAAGCTCAAATTAGACCATAAACATTCTGATACTTTGGTTGAATAAAAAAATGTCTTAAGTTATTTGAGTAAGTTAAGTCATTGAAATGCTAATTTTGGAACAAGTACACATTTGCAAATCTTCTAACCCGTTGCATCAGTTTTTCATTTATGATCTCATGAATTTAAATAGATAATGTAAGCCATTGCTAATTTTTATCCCTTTAAAGCTGTTATTTTGCCATTTTTTGACATCGAAGACAAACTTTTTGCAATGCATATTTCCATTGAATAGTAATCTTGTTAAAGTTGAAATTAGACCATAAATGTAGTGATTGTTTTGGTTGCTTCAAAAATGTATTAATATAGGAAAGTCATTAAGATGCCAATTTTGAAACAAATGAACATTGTAATTATTTGAACCCCTTTTAATAATTAATTGTATGGAGCTTCCATTAATTTTAAATATTTCTTATTGTTGTAGTCACCATGAAATATTTGGTGGACATAGAGAAATGGTGTAGTAATAAAAATGAAAAGTTGATTTCCTTTTTAATTTGTATAGTATGAGGCTGTTTATTATTTTAGTCTCAGATTATTCTTGATCCCAAATTGACTTGAATCTTTGCATTGAAGCGTGTTAGAATTTGTCATTGGAATCGTACGGAGGGGAAGCAAAAAATACGAAAATAAAATTCTAATTAACACTGCATTTTGAATCCAGCAGATTTTTATTTTTTACCCAATTCCTTGTTCTTGTAAAAATATATAACATTTTAAATTCTTGCATTCGTAGTTAAAATGTAAATAATTTAACTTTTGAAACTTTTTTAAGAAAATAACTTAAAAGTTGAAAAAGGATTCTAAATGAATATATTACAGGAGCATGTCTTCATTAATATGTATTAATTCAAGAACAAAATATTTCTTGAAGGCAATAGTGCAGAGCTAAAATACATTAAAATGGGTTCAAACTGCAGGTACTTGGAAATTACCATCTCTGCTTTGCAGTTAGCTCAGTTACCTAAAATATTGTGTGTGCTAATTAAAAAGGTTCCTGTAATATTTTGGAAGCTATGAGAATGAGAAAAATTATGTAAAACAAACTTCTTTACTTAAAATTTAAAGCAAATATGGGAATGATAGTAATAATCAAAAAGGAGGTATATTTTGACTGAGATTTGTTGGCTTTACCTGTACAAAATAATCCATGGTTTTTAATTTACAACAAATATTCTCTCGTAATCTACTTTCAAGAATTACTATGAAGAGTACGATGGGTAGTTTTTAATCATATCCAAATTTATCTCATTGGGAAACTTTCAAATCATACCTTTAATTAGGCTTCACATAGTTATTTCATGTTTTTAGTCTTGAGGCTTCATAAATGTATTTTCACATCTGTTATGTGCAGAAGAAAAGAAAAATCAATGAATTTTCATGATTCAAATTTGAAGAATCTTGCATTCTTTTAATTTTTTTTCAACTATCGTGTTTCAATTCATCCCAGTGTTAATGTAACACAACAGTCATTAGGGGTTATACATAAATTACGTTCCGCAAATTTGGTATATTTTGAATACCTCCTCATCTCTGTAAAGTGCACTGGAACTCCCCTCTAATAATTATGTAACGCTTGCAACCATATTTTCATTTATTTTAACAATTTTATGGAATATAACTTAACTTATATTTTATATTATGTTTTAGTATAAGATTGAATAAAAGGGATTATTTCAACAAATATTGAATGATTTTAAAAATAATTATCTGTATTATGTAACATTAAACTATGACTCCCCCTACGTAAGGAATGTAACGCTGCCTCAAACCCACTTTAGCGTTAAGTAATTTATGGACAACCCCTTAGGCTGATGATAAAAAGCGAAATGACTGTTAAGGTTGGAAGATTGTAAACCAAGGCACTTGCCATAGTTTATAATTAAAGGAATCTGTTGTTTGTGTAATCAGCCATGTCTGTGCTTTTCATAAAAAACACAATCTGCTCTTTGAAATATCGTATAAAAACAATTTCATTTCTTAGGATAAATGGACTCGCGACGTATTTAGCTACATTTTGACTAGCTTTGTTTTGATTGTTCTTAATGATCCATTGAGAGCGACTTCTGGTTTCTGTTTGGTTGTGTTAAGTTGGTATTACAGTACCACAAAAAAGAATGATCAGAATAGAATTTTTGCCTTTATATGAAAAGTCGTTTTTCATTCCATTGGAGAGAGAAATATAGGAAAAGTCAATGGATGTGTGTTTCGTGTTAGCAGTATGAAAGTTCTCCAGGGAATATTTTTAAATTCATGCATGTCAAGTTGGTATAACTAATGTGATTAAGATGGTATATACTGCATTCAGATTCCCAAATACATTGTCCTTTCTCACTACAGCATGGTTAAGAAACATCTAAAAGCCCAAAAAGGTTTTTGTGGTTGTATCATATGAAACCAAGAAGACTTGTTTTGTGTAGTGTAGCGATTTCCTTGCTTTCAAGAACTCTGTGTAATAATTATTTCCACATTGCCTATAATCAGTATACATTTGTTGCTATGTCAGGAGGCTTTTAAGACCATTTCAACCTTGTAAATTTTGAACAGGAATAAGGTAATTTATTTGCTAAAGTATTCAATAACTCACAATTTTTGTCACCCACTGTCCTAGTGTAGAAAATACCATATTTTACATTGCTCTGAAATTTCATATTGATTGAGAAAAGATGCAATGTATTTCTCACCCTGTAAACATCTTGTTCCTATTACATCAAGTTGTTTGTTTTTGTTTTTCTCTCAAAACAGTGTGTTTTCATAAATCATTTTACCAAAAGCTAAATGTCAAACTGCATTCCGAACAAAAAAAAAAGTTAAATGTGTGAAGTGCCAAATTTGTTGTCTTGGTGTTTCTAAGTGTCGAGTACATTTTCATATCACTACTTATAATGTTTTATGAGCTTGTAAGAATTTTTCTTTTGTTTTAAAATGTGATAAAAAGGAATTCCTGCAATTGCGATACCCTATTGTTGGTTCAAAGTAAGTCCAATAAAATTTAAAGAATGTATTTGAAGCCAATAATTTGATATGTGTGGAAGTGTGACAGTCAGCTTCCGTTAGTTTTGGTGCAAGAACAAAAGTTCATTTGGCCTTTTGTTGTGTTTTTCATTAGTTTTCACCTAATTCTGGCTATTTTAAAAAGTCTTTTGATTTCTATCAGAATACTACAGAAATAAGTTAGAAACAAAAGAAAATTGAAATAGTAATTTGCATAAAATGACAAAAGCAATATCATTTTATATTGAAATTTTATTTGTTTATGAAACTATTGTTTTAGTACATATCAAATTACATCTTTGTTTAATACAGGATTCCTAACCTGCATTACAATTTTCTAAAAACTATATAAATTAATATGCTATCAAAAATAATACAACCTGATTGTATAGTCAATGCAATACACTTCCTAAAAAAATCTAGGTTATAATACTGAGGTGCATGTTGCCAGCACATTTGGCAGTTTGCTAGATCAGTTCCTCTGAGGATGACAGGCAGATCAGTGTGTCTGCTCAGTCAGCAGTAGAAGCAGGTGCATTGAAGTAGTGAGGTATGCTTGCTGTTGGAAGAAATTGTCTGTTTTAGCTGTACCTAGGATCAGAGTAAGTGATATATTTTTTTCTTCACACCTTACCTTAGTGTGAATAGCTACAACTCAGCTGTCAGGGCTACTTCATTGAATACATGTCAATTCCTAACAAGGAGAAGGAGCAGCATTCTGGTGAAGACGATACTCTGTTGGTGTCAGCATTCCTCTGCCAATTAAACCCAAGAAGGAAGAACATGAGTTCATTCAACCTTTTATGGTTTTAACATTGTATCATAATTTTTACAGATTCCAAAGCATTTTGTTTTTGTGGTGTGTTAATGAGAAGTATACATACAAGTTTTCCAGTAATCCAATTTTTAATTTGTTTTTATTGACATTAAAATGATTAATTCAAAATCATTATTGAATGAAGTGAAAAAATCAAAGATAGATTTTTCTGGGAAATATTTCAATAAATAGTTTAAAAGAGAACCTAGGTGTAAAGTAAGGCCCGTGACACGGACGCTGCGTTGCGAGATTGACGCGTCGTATCTTGGTATGCGGACTGCCCCAAAAAAATGTTCTCATTAATTGTACAATGTTGTACTTTCTTAATTTTCGAAAATAAGAGTGTCGAAAATGCGATGAACATCGATGTTTTCGCTGTCTTTTGCGACTGCGGGGGGAAATGATCCGGTTTTATAGAAAATAATTGATTAAAAAATTGCCTATTTCACTCAAAATTAGGTGGGAGGATCCTAGCGTGTCAGCTAGGTCGAATTTCGTCTGGAGAAGAAATCAGACTGGCTGCTCTGGAAGGTAGTGTACGTCCTTAGCAATTGGAAATAGTGTGTTATGGATGTGTTCAAAATGCAAGATGAGGGTGGCGAAAATGCGTGTCAAAGAATATATAGAGGACTTCGGAAAATCAATTATTATGCAGGGGTTACAAGATATGATAAATGTAGAAACAGGCTAAAAAAACGTTGGGAAAGTAACAAAAGAACCCTAAAAGAGGACGAATATCCTCCAGAACAGACAACAAACAGCTCCCACAAATAGTATGGATGAAGACAGTGAAGAAATACGTAGGCAAACTATGCGACGAGACCACACATGATGTCCTAATAAGTTACTTAAGACAAAATGGAATAAAAGGGGAGATGAACTGTTTAGGCAGTAATAAAGCCTATACATTGGGTGTATCACAGAGTTCGATAAGTACGAATGTGAAGAATTCTGGCCACGGAGTATTCATACGCCCATTTCTTCTCAAGATATAGCAACAGGGGACTGTCGCTCAACGCTCACGACTAAAAACACAAAAAACTTAAAAAGCAGGATTCTGGGTGCCTGGAATGTCATTCTTTTCTCTCAGAAAAACACTTCACTCAGCATGGTCTGCACCTGAACCTTGTCGGAAAATATGCAGCAAGCTTGCAACACTTCGGCAGGATCCTCCCCACCCACATCTAGTTCTTTTCCAAGGACTTTTTTGAACCAAATGACCTTATGCCCTGAATATAATCCTTGTACTACCTGTCCCATTATTCATTTATCTCCCGTTTTCCTCCTTCCTTCCTCACCTCCGTCACAGCTGGCGTACTTCCTTCGACCGCACATTCAAGGTAAAAATTAGAAAAATAAATAGCAACTACAGTTAAATGTAGCAGAGGAACATCCGTGTCGGTACATGCAAAAAATTTAAATAATCATAATGTGCAATCTCTTTCAAATAAAATTGAATTTATCGAGGAAGCATTTAAAAAAAATTGTTGTGTCTGAATTGACGCAACGCGTCTCGAAGCCCTGCGGGGCATTTAAGCGCATCGCGCTTGGGAGTAATCCTTCATTAATATTCGCGCTATATTTATAGGAGTAATCCTCCATTAACGTTATCTCTCGTCGCAGTCAGTTGTCGAGAGAACCGTCAGTAGCATCTCCGCGTACGCGCTCCTGCGACACTACACAGCGGCCAAAATTGGGAAGGAATAAGGATAGAGGTGGGGTTTAGGACACTGCACAGGGGTTGGACTAGCCCTTGCGAAGCATGCAAACTCGTTTTGCCGTAACAAATGACATGAGGTTCAGATTACAGTGTGATCTAGGTCAAACGGATGTTTTCTGCTTTACAGAACATTGGTTGTCTCATAATGATCTAAACACACTCCAGATTCTTAGTTTTTACCTTGCAGGATCATATTGTAGAGCGAAGGAATCAAATAAGGCCCTGCTTACGTAGGTTCTTGTATTTACTTCAGAAATTATATTGTTTCTATCTGTCAGAATTCACTTTTATATGCAGTTGAAAGAGTTTTTGTAAAAAACAGTCGTATACTATGCTCAAAACTATCTTACTTTTCATCTACAGACCTCCAACAAAGCGAGCTTTAGATGATTTCATTTTCTTAGAAAATCTAGAGATAACTCTCATCAAAATTAGTAATCTATCTTTTAAATCCATTGTTATATCTGGAGCTTTTTAATATTGATTTTCTGAGCGAATCCCACGAAAAAGAGCAGTTTCTCAATTTACTGTATTCTTTCAATTTAGATATTACAGTGAATGTACTGTAACGAATATTGCATCATCTGCCGGGATTCGCTGCGAGGATTGCGTCATCTGTCGGCGCCCCCTCTTCACCCCGAACTGGACGGTTACGGGCCATTCGCGAGTCGCGTAGAGGTGTTGCGCACTTTCCCGAAGGCTCGAGGCAAGCGTCGGTCAGGTATAAATTCGCCGCTGCCGGCGGTCACTAGTAGTAGTCGGAAGTAAGCAGCCGCGAATCAGTTAGTGTGTGTAATCAGTGAAAAAGCAGTCAGTCCATCAGTGTGTCTGAAGTGGAAGCTGTGCTGTAAAGTGTGCATTGCGGTGAACAGTGGAGCAGTGGACCCTGGTCTGCGCAGTGAATTGTGGTCAGCGCAGTGGACCGTGGACAGTGCATTGGACTGTGCGATAGTGTAGAAGTGATCAGTGTAAATAAATAATCAGGAAGAAGTGAACAGTGTAAATAAATAATCAGAAGAAGTGAAATGTGTAAATAAATAATCAAGATAACTGAGTCGTGTGTAAGGAAAATAATCAAGTGAAAAATACAAGGACTGTGTAATATATCTGTAAATAGATCAAGTATTTTTAGTGTACAATTCTTTACGAATAAACGGTTTTGTTCAAATATTATCTGAGTGTGAGTGTTAATTCACTATCGAGAAACGTTGCAGTACCTACGCGGAATACATTTACGTCACAAAAACCAACAGATCAAATTATAATTGACAATATCTCAACTAGATATGAAATAAAATCTACTAATCTAGGTTACAGTGACCACGATGCACAAATTCTTACAATTAATAATATCATGAACACTGACACAAATTATGCAAATGCAAATACAAATATTACAAAAACACAAACATACAAAAAGTATGCATATTCTTTATAAAAATTATACAAAATTTGTACATGCATGTGCAGAGCATTCACTAAAGTTAACATAAAATTATTCACGCACTACTTGCTGAAGGAATCGTGGAATATATAAAGCTGTTGTCACAAATGTATAATATAATCTATTTTTCTCAAAACTTTCATGTCACTTTAACGTATGCTTCCCTCTCAAAAAGAGAAAATTAAACATTTCACGGAAATATAATATTTGGATCACATAAGAAATTAAAATATTGTGTAAAAACAAACGTACGTTTTACTTTATTTCAAAACATCATAACGTATCACCCGGTTTCCATGTCTACTTCCGAGAATACAAAGGAATTTTAAGGAAAGTAGTAGTTCAGGCAAAAATAATGAAAAATAATCAGGATATTTTGAACTGTAGTAACAAAACTAAAGCAATGTGGAATATCGTAAAAAACACGACCAATTACCTCGGTACTTAGTAGGGAATGATGTTTTAAAGGATAATGAAAGAGAAGCAAGTAACCCGGAAAAAGTGGCAAATCTCTTCAACCGACACTTTTCTAGAATTGCGCCTGTACTCAAGAAGGAACTAAAATTACAAAATTCAACATAATTTCCTTCTTAAAAAAATAATCAACCCGATATTTATTTACGAACCTTCTTCAAATGAAATCCCGAGAAAAGTTAGTATTAACTTATATATACTATAGTACTATTATATACATGTGTATATATATATATATATATATATATATATATATATTTGTCTGGTTTAGATGAATTGTTTATTGAAACTTGTGTACATGTCTTTATACACCCGTTAATTCACATTTTCAATGCTTCTTTATGCACAGGAATGTTTCCAGATATTTTCAAAAATTGAATCGTGCATTACCCAGACCTTTAGATTGTAAAAGAAATTTTTTCGAACCATGAAAAAATTGCCATCCACGTGATCCCTGCAAGCCTCTCTTCATTGGGCTTAGAATTTTACCATTACCTTGCCTATTTATTTACGAATTTGTAATATTTGTCAAAACTGACTTAACGGCGGTGTCATATTTTCATGCGATACTGATAATTACATCACACGTCGAAGAAATCATGTTCATCATGAATCTGTATCAACAGCTCACTACTAGAAATCCACGTACAATACATGCATGTTACTTTACCACGCATTGCCAGATGACATTAAACAACTGAAGTTGGTACACAAATTTAACTTAAAGTAAAATCTTTTCTGCTGCATAACTGTTTCTATACAATTAGAGATTATACTGATCATCAAAGAGAAAATAATGTTTATTTTAATAAAACAGAGATATATAATGAATTAGTTTACATTTGTATTGTATACTTTTTTAAAAGA